TTCTTCTCGGGGTGCTGAGTTGGACCCTTAACTTGAATGAGTCTTCAAGCTTGGAGCAGGCTAGTCTAGAAGCCTATCTAAGACAGCACCAACCATAAACCCTAAACCCGACCTAAATGAACCCTAAACCGTGGACGGTTTCGGGGTTGACGGTTCTTGGTTCGGGCTTCAGCCTTCACGCTTGGGTTTCGGGGGATAGACTTTGTTTGTCCAGAGGAAGCCCCGGCTATGAGACCAGACCCCCTAATAAAAGCTCAGCGGCAATTCCCAAACCCGAAAGCCCAAAACCCTAAACGGCTCTACTGCAAACCTTTTGATCCTAACCCTGAACCCCTGGGCCTTAAACCCGACTGGCGTAAAGTCCCAATCCCGCTGTTGCCATACTAAGCTTTTTCATGTATGCAGCGGTTGGGGGGGATCGCATCCCCAAACCCTAAACCGCCCCTTCCGCATGAAATAAGCTGCAAAAAAACCACTCGCTTCCACGGTCCTCAGGCCCGTGGCCGTACTTGTTCGCAAAATCTCAGCGAGGCATTCGTTCTGGTTTTGAAGGTGCCGAATTTCGTTTTCAAAGAAGCATGGAGGAAGCATGTAGGGAATTTATTTCTCTACTTCCCTGTCGAGAAGCACCGTGCGAAACCCATCGGGCGCTAGGGTGTAAGGGCGACAGAGTGGCTCGAGTTGGAGTTTCAGGGTTTTAAGTCAGCAGACCAGAAGACCAGCCTGGTGGAGGAAGAGTGTCTGAGGTCCGAGATTGAGGAGATGAGGGAAAGAAGTCCAAAACCCATCCGAAACTCCAGAACCACAACTGTCCACAGGGTCTCCTCGTCGTTGGCCATATGCTACACGGGTAGTTCTCTAAATTTGTGTCCCTTTTGGGGATCCCTTTTTAAAGGGTGCCGCCTGATAATGGGTACCCGGGTACCCCAATTTCGGAAACGATCCATATGTATATATGAATATTAATGAACACGACGGAGGTCAGTTGCAACTACCGGTACCCACTTACCTGCAAATGATGCAGCTGCAGGGAAGCACACTGAAACCATAGTAAGGGCTGCAAGCACAATCAACGCTGCATAAGGCTCGAGTGAATGCTTGTTGCAAATCCTAAGCCCTAAACCCTAAACCCTACACCCTAAATTATAAACCCTAAGTCTTAGACATGATCCCAGGAGCATCATCTTGTCCGGCGTAGGGATGCTATGTATTGCATTTTTTAACCGAAGTCCGTAAATCAAGACCGATAAAGCCGAAACACACCCAAGAGCTTCACATGCTGAGCCCGCCACTCCAGCATGCAAACCATTTCTCCACCTTGGCAAAAGTCGGGTCGAAACCATGTAGACCAGCTCGCAGGCTCAGAAGATTGGAGCTCTCCCAAGTCATGTCCCCCCGTGCTGCAGCTCCTACCCTGAAACTCAAGACGGCTTATGTCAAAGTGACTTTGATGGATGATTGGATGACAGAAATGGGCGCCGAATGAGCTTGGGTGTCGCATCAAGCCCCTTGTGGAGTCCAAGGCGGATGCCACAACCCTGAGTTGAGAATTGAGGTCCCTCTACCGCCTCAACCCTAAGGCCGCAGTGCATTGCTCACTTGGAGGTTTTAATAAATGGGCTTGATAAATAGAGCCTACGAAAATTGCAGATATAATGCTGAGCCTCGAGCGTTCTTAAAAGGATGGAACGTGGTGTCCGTCTGTCCGCAGGGAGCCGGTTGATCGCCGCACGCCTGGGCAGGCGGTGGAAGGAGGACCCCTGCGAACTGTCGCTCAAAGCATGCACTGGAAGTGTAACCTTCTAGCATATAACCCTAAACCCCAAACCCTAAACCCTAACTTAGCTTGTCACAGCATCCCCCTCCAGAAGCTCTTTCCAGGATCCTAAGGACTAAAACAAGACACTACCCCCTGGCTGCCTTGCACATTCACGACTCATAACCTGTTCTCCCCTGTGAACCAACATGGACAAAGGGCACTTTCAATGTAACAAGACGTCGTATGGTCCCGTATGGTATCTAAACAAGAGGATACTGTGACATACTTCCCAAGGAGACTGCGGCAACATTCATGGGCGTCCGGGCGATCTCGCTCATCACATCGAACTCATTGACCCGGGTCAGGCCCAACTCCTTGGGAGGGGGGGGGGGGGGGGGGGGGGGTTGCAGGGTTTGGGGCTTACTGAGTCGGGTGTAGGATGTAGGACTTAGGGCCACTTAGGGTTTAGTCCAAGGCTTCGGCGTCAACTACCTCACATCCTGGCAGCTTCAGTTTGCAAAGCTCTCGAAGCCCTTGAGACTGATGCGCCCCATGGCCTGACATAAAGCCTGGGGAGTCCATGCTTGCTGCCTCATGTAGGGTGCCAGGGAATTTCATGGTCATGTTCTCTAGATTCTGGATTGAGGTCATGTTTTCACCTGAACATGGGGGGGCCCGTTTCCTCGTGTCCTGGAGGAAATGGGACTCCAATATCTAGGACAACCTGGGCCCTTTAACCAACCCCGGACCACGGATTTTCTGAAGTTCCGGCGAAGTACCTGGAAGAAGTCCACGTGGCCATGGGGCTAAATGACTTTGGGCTTGTGGGTGAGGTTGATGGCTGCTGGATGTGCTTCATACACTGCCTCGACTTCAAGCGATACAGGGTTCCGGGGCTTGAAATTCCATGGGCCTTCGGATAACAGCCTTCATACCCGAGACTTCCTAGACCTCAAGCCCTAAACCTTGAACCCTGCACCCCAAGCAACTGCTTGGCTCCCTGACCAGCCTCTACGACCACGCCCCCCGCAGTTTCCCGGGGCATGCGCCATCATACACTGGTCGATGAAGATGTCTTCACCCCAGGCATGGAAGAGGAGGTTCGAGCAGATGGGCCTTGAGCTCAGAGCCCGGAAGACCTTGAACCCTAAACTCTCTAGAGCCCAAACCCTAACCAACGCTTGAAAAAAGGGACACTCTTCGGGAGCCCGACAGGAATCTAATTAAGGGTTCGGGGTTTAGGGTGCAAGGCTAAAGCCCCTTGAACCCTACATCGGAAAGCCTCAACACCCAACTCCAAAACCCTATATCCCTCAAACTTAGGGCTTCCGTTAGGGTTTAGGGTTTAGGGTTTAGGGTTTAGGGTTTAGGGTTTAGGGTTTAGGGTTTAGGGTTTAGGGTTTAGGGTTTAGGGTTTAGGGTTTAGGGTTTAGGGTTTAGGGGAACCAGAATACCCATAGCAGAAGGATTTGTTGATCACTTCGGAGAAGCAACTTCTCCCACTCCTTCTGTGCTTTGTCCCCTCGGCCCGACAGGTGCCTTTTCTAAGGGTTTAGTGTTGGAGGCTTACGGTTTCGGAACTCTGGTCAACAGCAAGACTTAAGGGGGTCGTAGGAGGCGGGGCGCCCAAAGGCCACACAGGCCCGCCAAACTCGCCTCAACCATGTTTAAGCCTTATTAACCCCAGCCAACCCCACAAACCCTGCATGCCCGGTAAAAAACGCGACAAGGCAAATAGAATCATTAATCCTACAAGGCCTACATACACCCCGTAAACTCCAAACCCTGTAACACTGTCTCCAAACAGTTTGAGCCGGCGGCAGGCCAGCAATGTACATGGCCACACACCGCCTGCTGAAGACCTACCGCAGTTGGGTCTGGGATTTCAGGGGTGACTGTTTGGGGTTTAGGGTTTAAAGTGCACTAAACCCTAAACCCGAAACCCCTAAACCCGAAACCCAAACCCTAACACCAAAGCCGAAAACCCGAAACCCTAACCAAGGTCTGGATAATGGGGCTATGGGTTGAGTGGGTAGGGGTTGTTGGGGCTTACGGCTTCACTGTTGTGAGTGTTTGTATAGGGACCATGCAGGGTGTACCAATTATGGTTTATACAAGGTTTCGGTTTTAAGGTTTCGGGCGTCGTTGAGAATCGAGATTCCGAATTGCTCCCCACTTGGGCGGTCTAAACTCAGAGGTCCGTACTATGTAAGATTCCCAAAACGCGAAGCCGCAAAACCCGAAACTAAACCCCAAACCCAACACCCAACACCATAAACCCAAAACCCAAAACCCAAAAACCTGAACCCTTTAAACCCTAAAGCCTAAACCCTCAATCCTAAACCCCTAACCCCTGAGCCGCTAAACCCGAAACCACGTTGGAGGGGGGTTTTTGGTCGCGGGGTTTGGGGTTTAGGGTTTAGGGTTTAGGGTTTAGGGGACCGAGCTGCCTCGATCGGACCGTGCAAACCCCACTGGCAGTTGTTGATGTAAACCGCCTGGCAAGATGGGTTCTAGGGTTTAGGGTTTATAGGGGTTTAGGATTTAGGGTTTATAGGGTTTATAGGGTTTATAGGGTTTATAGGGTTTATAGGGCTTATAGGGTTTATAGGGTTTATAGGGTTTATAGGGCTTATAGGGTTTATAGGGTTTAGAGGGTTTAGGGTTTAGGGTTTAGGGTTCAGGGCTTTGGGGTTCAGGCTCTAGGGTTCCGGGTTTTGAGGTTAGCAAGAAACAAATCATCGCGGGGACTGAGGGTTTCAGGGACTGTAGGGATGAGAGCTCAAGGTTGAGGGGGTTGGGCTACATGGACGGTATTACCTTAAAGGGTTTAGGGTTTAGGGTTTAGGGTTGAGGGTTTAGGGTTTAGGGTTTAGGGTACTAACCGTTTACGCCCTGCAACTGTGCGAGATTTTGCGGTGTGAATGCTTGGGTCTCTGCCAAATGGTGCCGCGAAAGGCCCAGAGCCCGTAACGTCTTAAATCCCTAAAGCTTTCACGGTGTAATTAACGCCTTAACCCCCTAGCCCCCCGACGCCGAAAAAAAACCTCTAAAATCTTAAACTGTGGGTTTAGGGAAAGGGTTCGGTTCCGCTTGTCGTGCCGCGGTAGGATTATGGAGAGAGGTACCAAGGAAGCACCGTAAACAGGGTTTTGGGTGCGTAGTGGTCAGCTCATCAAAAGCCCCGAGCCCTGAACCCCAAACCCCAAACCCTTAAGCCTAAACCGCCGGCGCTTGTTTCTCACAGCTCCTCGCTAGAAGTTTGGATGCGGTGGCTCGGCAGGGGCGGCAGGCTTGCCGGTGGGAACCTTCGAGAAGCTGGGGGTTGGCTTTTGGGGGAAGACCCTTACGGAGGTCCCCTTGCAGGGAGACCCCTTACAGGGAGGACCTTTTCGGGGAAGACCCTTGCAGGGAAGAATCTTACGGGGAGGACCCTTACGGGGAGGACCCGTGGGGGGGGGGGGGGGGGAACCCCGTGATTTGAGAACAAGTGGGCGATTCCAGCAATAATTATGCAGAGGGATCTTTCTGGCAGAAATGACCCCTTAATTTTCTAGTTTTTCGGCTGCTTACAACGAGGCCGCTGTGAACAACAGTATGCCCCATGCGTGCTTCAAGGCTGTTCCGCAGCCTTTTTTCGAGAAGGTTCTCGAACGACACTGTGACATCAGAGTGAGAATGGGCTATCCTCCACTGCTTCCCGAAGCCAGTCCCACCAACATGATGGACAGTTGCTGCTACGATCAGCGTAGTATACGGCTAGCTGGTGGTTCACGTGAACAACACCGCTATATGACCCACCCCCCCCCTCCCATACAGAACCCTCCCTAATCCTAAGCAGCCCTATATAAATCATCTCACTAGTTATTGGACGTACACAATACATGCAACATGTCGAGAACATCCCAGACTGTGGCGGGACATCGCTGCGTGCGATCTGCCCTGCTATGCTCTGAGGTGCAAGTCCAGGGGCTCAGGTGGAAAGGTGTGTCTTGGGGTTTTGGGTTGGGTTTATGATGGGAGGGTTTAGTATAGCTGTGCGAACAATGAAATAGAAGCATTCACCCCGTACCGCTGTGCTCCTGGAGAGAGGGTTTCAAGCATTTCAATCGTGTGAGACGCACTGTGGAGCCTGCACAAAGTAGACGCCAGGTTCGAAGTTTGCCCAAACGGCTGAAATTCAAACCCGGTCCCGTGAGTGACACCAGGACACCCCCCCCCCCCCCCCCCCCCCCCCCCACTATAGAACTCAACGCTGCAAAATCGTCAACCCCCACACCACAAACTTAAATCCATGCCGCACCGAAACCAAGTCCAAAGACAACTCGATTTCCACCTTGATATCCCAGAGCTCCCCACAGAACTGCGCGCACCAATTGCGAATGGAGCATTAAACAACAACAAACACTGCGAAAGCAGGCAAAATCAGCAACAAGCAGGGGAACACAATCAAAACACCAAGCCATGGACCCTTTTCATGACCCTAAAAGCATGTCTTGAAAAGATTAAACAGACCCGCACGAAACCATCCCTTCCAACGCTGGATCTTCACATTGGTTCCTCAATACCGGCACGAAAGGCATGCGCGCGAATGACCGAAATCCTGCATCAGCCATGCATGTCAACACTCAAAACATAGGGGTGAGGGGAGTGTGTGTGTGTGTGTGCTAGTTGAGGTGTCAGGCTTTTAGTTAAGGTGTCATGCTTTTCGTCTGTCGGGTCATGCACGATTTTGTCCATCCAACGTACATGTAGAGGGCTTTTGACATTTGAGGTCTACGGCATATCCTAAGCGCTCAACACGAGTTGGACTTTGCCCTCTGCTTCAACCCTGAAGACCAAACTCCTGAGGTCCTACCCTACAACCCGAGTGACCCTCAACCCTCCTCAACACTAAACCCTCCACCCTCAACCCAGATCCAGGGCCAGGGAGCTTTGCCACCGCACTGCGCATCCTTGATTGGAAGTGACAGGGGCACCGCCAAAGCCCCGCCGACTTTGAACCCGTCCGTCAGCTTAAAAATCGGGTCTGAAGAGTGGGCCGAAGCTGTAACTAGTTTGAACCATCTGCAAGATGTTCCTGCATTATATTCGTGGTTGAAGTGTGACGTCCTGGCATCCCAACCAAAAAACTTCACCAAACCCTTAACCCTTTACCCTCAACCCATCCATCCTGCCGCAAGGAGGCATGCCGCAGTCACTGCGAACGGTGCCCATGGTGCTGCGGCGGGGTGGGGCATCATAGCCTTATAGGGCTTTCGGTTTTGAGATCGGTGGGAGGTAGCGACACCCTTCATAGTACGGCTTAAGGGCGAGCTCAGTGATGTATATACTCAAGGATGGACAGATACGATTTTAGGTCTACTCGTACAAGACGAACTCCAAGTGCATGGGTCATCATGGGTCCAGACTGTCCAGATGTGAACTTGCGCTCGGCAAAAGCCGTACCAAAGGCATCGCAAGCGTAAAACCAGAAGCTCTGAGCTTCCTAATCTGAAGAGCCTAACAAGCGCTGAAAATCCGGGGTTTGGAGTTGAGGATTCATGGTTGAGGGTGCCCGAAAACCCTCTAAACTTTATGGGCCCTCGAAATCCTCTAAAGGTTTAGGGTTTAGGGTTTAGGGTTCAGGGTTTAGGGTTCAGGGGTCTACGGTTCTTGGGGCCTGTCGACTTCACCCCCACTCTCAAGGGGCCCAAATGCTCCGTTCGACCCTCCAACTGAAGAACCTCTCAGCTTCACACCCGCATGCCTCCCAAGGCTCTACCGTAAACCACAAACCCCCAAACCCCTGAACCCTAAACCCTAAACCCTAAACCGTAAACCCTAAACCCTAAACCCTAAACCCTAAACCCTAAACCCTAAACCCTAAACCCTAAACCCTAAACCCTAAACCCTAAACCCTGTTAGGTCCCTGGCTGTGCCCAGGCAGCACCTCCGGCTTTATTGTGGTTGAAGAGCTCTTGGGGGCCCAACTGTCTAGAGTCTAGAGTTGAGGATTAGGGACTTAGGAATTTAGGGATGTCGGGCTTTGGGGTCTTAGGATGTAGTTTAGGGGTTCAGGTCATTTTGGCGGGGTTGAGGGTTGAGGCCTTCCTGGGTTTCGGGATTGGATGGCTTTGTTTTGGGGTTTCAATTTTCGGAGTTTGACGTCCGAGCAGATTTCAGGCTCCAGAGAGTTTGGACATATGGTCGATTCCCTAGGGGAGGTATCCTAAATATGAGGGCTGTATTGCAACAACAGGGACCCCATGAACGGGAACATCATTCAGATTGCTGACCGCTTCTGCTTGCGCGCTGTCAAAGAATAGCATATCCAGTGTGCATTAGGCAAGCTCACTCCACAAATCCGCATGCTGCCACCATGGCAGCCGAGAATACAAAACACCTTTCATTGTCTCTCTCATGCAGAATATTGCTAAACCGAATCCCTAAACCCTGAACTCCAAACCTGAATTTGAGTTGGAAGTCGCTCTTGGCCGACTACATGAAACCCGACATGTCACGTAAACCCGATCAAAACCCAGCAGCCCTCTTACCTGAAAGCCACCTCGGTTTCCCAGCGGCGCAGAAGGTAAGAAGGACACGTTGTTGTGGCTAACTCTGTTCCCAAACCCTAAACCCTAAACCCGAAACCCCAAGAGCCTGGACGCCCTCAGGGGTAGCACTTAGCCGCGAGAGGCTCCGCAGAAGAGTGGTGGAGTCGCCACCTAAGGCGCGAGGAGGTTTTGTGTTTATACGCCCTACAGGGTATAGGGTTTGAGGGGTTGAGGGCCGAGGATTTTAAGGATTTGGACGTCGGCCTCCAATCCGGAGGATGCCATTTCTAGTACCATTCTGGCAACTTCCGGAGAGTCGCCAGTCCTGGGTTCTTTGGCTGCTCTAAGAGGCCCAAACTCCCTTTCTCAACCCGAACCCTAAACTCAAACCCTAAACATTAAACCCTAAACCCTAAACCCTAGAACCCCTTTCAACAAAAGCCTCGCCTGGAAGGTCCGTGCGGCCCACATTCTTCAAGAACAGCGTGTCGCCCGTGAGGAGCATTCCTGCTCGCGACTCTCCAACAAGAAGACGCAGCGCTTACAGTTTCGGGGTTCATGGGGACTATATTGTTTTTGTTTTTTTATGTTTTCTTTGTTTGTATACTTCTTTGTACATTATAGAATAGTATCAGGTTATATACTAAACTAAACCGCAAAGCCCAAAACCTTGTCTAAACCTCAAAACTTTGTCTAAACCCTGAAAACCCTGTTAACCCTCAAAAGCTTCCCCCTACCCACCTTCGGCACACTCAGCCCGCACGCCCGGGCCTCCACGCAGCACGCACAAATCTTCTTGTAAGCCCTGGCACCAGGTAAGCCGTAAACCCTGCGAAGCGCCCTAAACCCAAGAAACCCTAAACCCAAAAAACCCTAAACCCAAGAAACCCTAAACCCAAGAAACCCTAAACCCAAGAAACCCCCTGAACCCTCTAAACCTACTAAACCCTGAACCGGCGTCATTCGGCTTCAAGCATCGGGAGTTCAGAGGTTACGAGCTCTTGAACTTACTTGAGGCTTTAGGATCATTGAAGGCTGACTTGAGTTTAGGGGTTTAGAGGTTTTGTGGTTCAGGATTTTTTGGGGAGTAGGTTTTAGCGGTTTAGGGAGTCTGGACGACTGCGCTTTTTGTCAAGCAAACATCAGCCAGCCTACCCTGGCGGTGAATCGATCCATGGACTGAAGCTCCCAAGAAACTCGCCGGACATTGGGGCTTTTGGCTCTTTGGGAGCTGTGATGAAAACATCAGAAGAACACTCAAACCTAAAGCCCAAAATTTGAACCCCAAGACCCTAAATCCCCGAACACAACAAAATCTAAACCCTAAACCCTAAACCCTAAACCCTAAACCCTAAACCCTAAACCCTCTTTCCTAAACCCTAAACCCTAAACACTAGGCCCCCCCCAACAAAATCGAAATCCCTCGACCTAAGCCCGGGAAATGTCCAAAGCACCGGTACCACGGAGCCAGAATGTGACGCCACCTGCGCAGGCAGCCAGGGCGGGGGCCTTTGGGTTTAGGGTTTAGGGTTTCGGGTTTGGTGTTTAGGGTTTAGGGTGGGGGGTTTAGGGTTACCGAGGGCTTGAGGTTTATCGTGCCGTGACGGGTTCTGGAGCAACATGCTGTAGAAGCAAAAAGTAAACCCCAAACCCCAAACCCCAAACCCTAAACCCTAAGCCCTATAAGCCCCAAACCCTAAACCCTAAACCGCAGCGAATCAACGAGCACGTGTGGCGTGTAATTTGAAACCCCCCCCCCCCCCGAGCCTATGGTGTGCCCGGGCGAGTCGATCCTGGGAGTGATGTAGAGCTTAAAGATCTTTTGGGGTTTGGGGGCACATACGTTAAAGGCTTAAAGGCTTAATGATTTTAGGGTTTGAGGGTTTAAGGTTGTTAGGGTTTAAGGGATTTAGGGGTCCGGATGGAGGCGCCAAAGGGGCATTCCCCCTTATACTGTCCTTAATGGGGATCATCATAGCGGGTACATAATCCCCATTCAGGACTGTTAGTATAAGGGGGAACATCCCAAAACTCTTTGAGAAATCATTGCGAAGGAAAACCGCCCTTTGCTGCTTTTTTGTGGCTTAACTGCCTCGAATAGCAAGCCCTCTAAAACCCCAAACCCCAAACCCCAAACCCCAAACCCCAAAAACACCGCAACACCAAAACCAGGCCTTGAAACCTGAGTCTGAAGCTCAAGAGTCGACTCCTCGTCGTGTGAGCCCCGATGTAAGCCCACAAGACCCTGCTGAAGATCCCGAACGCGTGAACTCCGAAGAAACCCTGTAAACCCTGCAGAGCCTTAAGCCCCAAAACCCTAAACCCTAAACCCTCAACCCTGCAAACTCTGAGGGCCTTAAGCCCTTCAAACCCTGAAGCGCCTCAGCCAAGAGGCCCTCCAGGCCTAAACTGAAGAGGGACTCTGGGCTTAGGGTTTAGGGTTTAGGGTTTAGGGTTTAGGGTTTAGGAGGCTTTTGGTTGTTTCGGCTGTGGGGGTTGAGTGTGCAGGGTTGAGGATTTAGGAGTTGAGCGTTTGTGGTCCTATAGGGGGGCTTGGCTTAGGGAATTGGTGCTTAGAGGAGCCCTAGAGTCCAAGTGTCACGAGGATTGGCAGCTCATCTCCAAGCACGGAGAGTGTGTCTCCTTCGGGCAGTTATGGCTTGCAGGGGTTTAGGGTTTAGGGTTTAGGGTTTAGGGTTTAGGGTCTCTAAGACTTCCAGTGCAAAAGACGGCTAAAACTGGACATGACGGGTGTGTGACCGCGCAACAAGAATCACAAGCAAAAGCAGGGCACCACCCACCCCTCAGCCCGAAAATCAACCAAAGAAGAGCTCGAAGAAGTGGTTTCCCGTCGAATTCTCTCAGGGCATGTCTGAACACTCAACCTGTCAACCCTAAGCCCTATCACCCTAAATTTCGAAAAACACAGAAGAGAGAACTTTTGAAAAAAAAAAAAAAAAAAACGAACCCCAAAACCCTCAGAGGTTAAGCGTCCTTCCTTCAAGGGCCTCCACGTGTCAGCCCCGAGCCTGGGCTTACTTACTGGCCGGCTCTTCAAATTTGTCGAAGGGAATCACGGAATTGGGGTCCCACATCATTCAGGGCTAAGGCTTTAGGGTTTAGGGTTTAGGGGCTTAGGGTTGGTTTAGGGATTTTAGGGTTTAGGTCTTAGGGTTGAATTTAGGCCTACAGCCCTGCGAGGGCTCGGTCAGGGCAGCTTTGCCGCCTTTGACGGACGCCCGTACCCAAAACCCGAAGCCTTGAACCATTACTTATCCTAAACCCCAAACCCTAAACCCAACTGAAGAGAATTTATCATGTAATTACAAGTCGCTGCAGCTTCATGGGTCGACAGGGCTTGAGGTGCAGGGCTGGGTATGGATGCCGGGGGCAGAGTGGATTGATCGGCTGAGGGGTTCAGGGTTCAGACTGGGTTTAGGCATTCAGGTGTTCAGGCCTTTAGGGATGTAGGGTTTAGGGTGGCCCCTGTGCATCATCCGCCGCAAGGCAACTTCGTCTGCAGCGTTGCGGCATCGATGTCGCCAGCACCCAGGAATAGTGGCACCTTGCTATGTCTCTCATCGGAAGGTGGTCTCTCGGGATTATGGCTGTTGGCATCAGACTCTAACACTAGAAGACGGAATAGCCACGCAAGACACCTAAGCCCCAAACCGACCTAAGCCTTAAGCAAACTCCCGAGCCCCTGAATCACTAAGCCCCCTAAACCTCCGACACCCTGGAAAACCTCCTAAACCCTCTCCCTCCAAAACCCCCACAAGCCCGAACAGTCCTTAATACTACTAGGGGTTATAGTACCCCTATTGCAAGTCAACCAAGGGCCCTAAGCCGCACAAGGGTTGGGCGGCGCCTTGGCCCGGTGAAGCTCCGTGGCGCCCGGTAGAGGCGAGGCCGGTGAGCCTTGGCGACCGTGGCTTCGGGAGGAGATTTCGGTTGCCTTGGGAGTTTGGTTTAGGGTGAAGGGTTGAGGGTTGAGGGTTTAGGGCTTAGGGTTTAGGGTTTGGGGTTTAGGGTTTGGGGTTTGGGGTTTTGGGTTAAAGGTTAGGGTTCAGGGCTGGAAGCTTCAGCTGGCCTTTGGGCTTAGGGTTTGCAGTCTCGAGGTTGAGGGCACCACATGCAATCCCACCTTCAGCAACAGCCATTGAACACCATGTAAGCTAGAAACACGACTTAAGGGTAACCTAGGAATGAAACTTGTGCCCTTTTTGCTTTAAAGGCCTTGTAAGGGAACCTAAGCCTAACAACCCCAAGCATCAAAGGTTTAGAGTCTAGGGTTTAAGGTCTACATAAACCCCACGGACCGTGCCAGAATAAGCTCTATGTTCGAAAACCCACATATTCACAGTCCGCTCGAAAGGCCTCTCGGGCAGGGCTGGTTGTGCTCAAGTAAATGGAATATTTGGCTTCAGGGGATGCTTTGGATCAGTTTGCTTTTCTCGATTTGTTGAGCTGTTTTTGTTGGGTCGGCGCGTTGCATGGTGCCAGCTTGTTGAGGCGAACAGCTTTGAGCATCCAGAATGACATCACACACAATTTCTAGTTATCCTGATCTTGAGGGTTCAGGGTTCAGGGTTCAGGGCTTGGGGTTTCGGGTTTAGGGTTTAAGGGTTTAGGGTTTAGGATTTTGGTTTAGGGTTTGGGGTCTTTAGGGCTTGGAGGCATAGGATCCCACTGATTCGGCCAGAGAAGCCGGGCACGGACCCCCCGATGTGGTCGAAGTGGCCGTGGGTGTACAGCCCAGCGACGAGCCTCACCCAAAGGGGTTTAGGGAGTTTAGGGGTGGAATCGGGAAGCTTAGGGGTTGAGGGTTTAGGGGGTTAAGGGTGTAATCCAAAGGGGTTTAGGGAAGTTGAGGGGTGGTGATGGGAAGCTTAGGGTTTTCTGGGTATCGGGGTTTAGGGGCGTAATCCAAAGCGGTTTCAGGCATTGAGGGGTGGTAACGGGGTGCAGGGGTTTCGGATCCTTGGGGAAGCTTAAAGGGGTTGAGGGGTGGTAAGGGGGTGGTCGGGGTGTAGGGGTTTAGGGGAAGTTTACGCGCTTAGGGGTTTTTAGGGTTGTAGGGGGTTCAGCCATTAGGGGTTTAGGGTTGGAGGATTTAAGGCTGTAATTAGGGAACAAATTCAGAGCTGAGGACTGTTTTGAGGGGGGACTTTTGGGGTGCAAGGTGGTCCCTAGACAATTCCTTTGTGGTCTCGGTGTTTGCTATGAGGATTCTCATAGGCGGCTTGAATACAAACTCGGGGGCTTGATAATTCAGTCTTTCGGAACGTCGGTGGGATGAGAACGATCGTGAATAGAAATGACAAGTTCAGTGCCGATTTAGCAGATGTGCGAACCAGCAGTGGATCAAAGTTCAAAGGCCTTGCCCGATAAAGACTTTGGGGCCTTGCCATATAATGCTTTGGGGCAATTCTGTGCCTAAGCGTCCGGTGTTTTGGGTTGAGCGTGAACAGGTTCGAGCCTAAGGGAGGGTTTAAGGGTTTAGGGTTGATTGTAATTCACAGAAGGTCGGCAGACAAATCGAATGTAAGAAGGCCGTGTGGGGGTTGGGGGGGCTTCAATACGACCCGAAGTGGGATGCCTGCCACAATCTAACCTCAACCCTAAGCCCTAAACCCCAAACCCTAAACCCGAAAACTCTTAAAGCCTAAACCCCTAAAACCCTAAACTCTAATCTGGCTTCGGAAGAGTATAGACTGTATAGACCCTAAACCGGATACTCTACGTTCTGAGTGAGGCTCTTGAGGCCCTGCTTCTCGACGTACCGCTGCAGTCGCGCAATGTCCCAGGCCGCATCCACCGACACAGCATCTGCGCCGTTGTCGATGATGTACCTGGTGTACGGCAAACTGGTCTTTAAACCCCAAAACCCCAAACCCCAAACCCCAAACCCTATAAACCCGAGTCAAACTGAGTGTGGGCTTAGGGTGATTTGGGGTTCAAGGTTTACCAACTCAAGGTCGAAGGTTTCTTTGCAGCTTAAGGTTGTGGAGTTTGAGGGGGTTCCTAGATCCTATACCAAGGCCCCTGTGCTGCGGCGCTTTCCCGTGAGGTTTCAGGGCTGGCTTAGGGTTTTGGATCCGGGGTTTAAGGGTTCAGGGTTTAAGGCTTAAGGGCAAAGGGCTTAAGGGTTTAACAGTTTAAAAGTTTCAGGTTTGAGGCTTCAGGGTTCAGGGTTTAAGGCCAGGCCGGGTATGTACCTGAAGTACCTTGCTCTTGCAATTGGCAACTGTTGAGAAAGAGAGATTGATTGCCATGCGGGAATGGGCAGTCGCAAGGCTTAGGGCAGTCCGAGGCTTAGGATTTACAGGCTTTTAGGGAGATGGGTTTGGTTTAAAAAAAGCCAAAGTAGGGTTTAGGGCTTGGGGTTTAGAGTTTTAATCTTTTTGGGGGATGGGCTTGTTTTTGTCTCGATGTTTCCGTCTGTGGGCAGGTCGCATCAAACGATGACACCAGGCCTCGCCCTAAACCCCAAACCCGCGCAAAAAAGCCCTTACCAATTAAGCCCTAACCCCCAACTAACCCTTTAGGGTTTAGGGTTTAGGGTTTAGGGTTTAGGGTTTAGGGTTTAGCAAACCCGAGATAAACAGCATAAACCGGCCAAGGCATGGGATGATTGGGGACCACTCCGTGGTTGAGGAGTCCTACCAAAACCTGTCCACGGGCTTTACAGGGGTTTAGGGTTCAGGGTTTAGGGTTTAGGGTTTAGGGTTTAGGGTGAAGATGAATGAACTCCAACCATAGGCTGTACATCCGCAGTGAGAAAAAGTCTCTACCTGCCCACCAAACCCAGAACCCACGCAACCCTGTCCAACCCATTACGAAAATGCACACAAATCAACTCAAAACAAGCACATCAATTCAGTCGTCCGGGGCTCGCGCTGGTAATTTGACATCTGACCAAGCTCCAGCCTTATTGTCGCAACACCAAGGGTTAATTAACCACTCAAGACACAAAAGTCCCTAGGCCAAGACCTTCGCCGTAAGCAACCCCTTTGAGAAGGGAACCTACAAGAGTGGGCTCAGATTATCCTCAGATTCCTAAACGACGTATTGGGGGAGGATCAGTTTCCATAAGCCTCTATATCACCCCTTGGAATACGACGACGTGTGCTCCTAAAGCCAAAGGAGCTTCTGGCAAGAGCATAGCGCGGCAAATCCTGACACTTCGGTGAGAAGTGGCCAAACCAACCCTGCAGGTTTAAACCCTAAACCCTAAACCCTAAACCCTAAACCCTGAACCCTGAACCCTGAACCCTAAACGTTCGAGCCCGCCACCCGCAACCTGAAACCCTGAATCCCAACACACTAAGCCCTGACACTACTAGGCTGCTCAGTAACCCAGGATGAAAAAGGGTACCCTTTTTTGTCTAAAGGGGTTTATAAGGGAACCGGTAACCTGAGCCCCCCCAAAAAGGAATAAGGGCACTACTGGGCATCCTAGACTAATCCCTAAACGTCAGAACCAAGTCACCCTGAGCCTATGTTGCTACCATCTGCTTCAGACCCATGCCCAGGCTCCTGACCTTCTCAATCCATGTAGGGTGTAGGGTTTATAGGATTCATAGGGTTTGTAAGTTGCAGGGTTTAGGGTTTCGAGAGCCTCACTGCAAAGCCTGCAAACCGTACAAACGCCTAAGGTAGAAAGGCTATGAAGCCTAAACCCCAAAACCTCTGCGTTAAGGTTGGTCATAGACCCTCCCAACAAATCATTCTACATATTCAATCGTTTGAACCAAAAGTGGGAACGGTCCAGAAACCATCAACCCTATGCCCTATGCGAGCCTCTACCCTATGCCCCTGCAGCCTTAAATCCCCGAAAAGCCGAGCCTGATATTGGATTCAGGGCTTCGGGTTTTGGGTATGTTGTAGGATTTGGGTTTTCTTTGGGTTGCGGTTTGGGGGTTTGGGGTTGGTAGGGTGAGGCCCTCCAACTCTGAGACACCATGTTACAGACGAGTACTTGCAGAATCGTACAACAAACCACTCCTGCACCCTCTTTTGCGCCCTCACTCAATCCTATACCCTAAGCCCCTAGAAACCTAACAAAGCCCTAAACCCTATACCCCATACCCCTAACCCCTAAGCCCTAAACCATGTCAAGGCCTCGATGCCTTATGTGCCCAAGCAGCTGGTGCACGCGCCAGGCCCCGCAGTCGAGCACGGCCGCCGCCGCCGCGGCGGCCGGAGCCAGGAAGACGCCCAAAGCGCGCAGCGGCATGGGGGAGTCGGGTGTGGGGCCTTAGGGTTTATAGGGCTTGAGAGCGAGCTTGAGGACGTTTAAAGCTTTTGAAATTTTGGAGGGCTCGGAGCCACTGCGCCTCAAGATTTGGGGCTTGCAGGGGATGCCAGTTCTGGCGCCTTAGTTTGGAAGGTTTAGGCTCTGGGGGAGGGGGCGGGCTAAAGAAGTAGTCCCGGAAGGTCGGTCAGGGGCTTTCAGAGCTTAAAGCTAGCGATCTCCAAACCTCTGCCCTCTAAACTCCGAAGCCCTTTAGAAACCAAAAAGTAGCCCTAAACCCTAAACCCTAAACCCTAAACTTTTGAAGCTCAGCTGAAATTCGCACGGGGCGCATTGCCGATGCTACGCAGCCTGATCTGACGCGATGCCGGCGGAGCCCGGGCTGCTACCCCAAACCCTACGGTTTACTCTTGGGGTTTTGGGTTTAGCGTTTAGGTTTCTAGGGCTTAGTAACGGTAGTGCTTCTGACTGGACTGAAATAGCGAGTAGGATGGAGGTTCAGAGACACGATTTCCTCTCAAGACTTCCCAAACACTCGTCTCGTCGGCATCCTAGCCTACTCGAATCCATCGAGCTATCTACGCAACTCTAGAGTTGTCGAAGGTCATGCAGTCATACACCCGACGCCTCTAAGTTCAAGTCCTCGTAGGCCCAAGTTTCAGAGTTCAAGGCACATACGGATGAAAGCTACATAGTCAAAGGCAGCAGTGTGCCTGGTCGCTGGGAAGGTCGCAGGCGAAGTCGTTGCATTGGCCTCGAGCACTCGAGCGCTCACACAGGTACTCTAAACCCTAAAACACACAGACAGGCTTTGCAGGGTACGTGATAGATACTTTCGTCCACAATCTGCCAACCAAAGCTTGTACCATTACTTCTGCTCTGTTTGCCATACATCTGCAAAGCCTAGGACCCTAAACCCAAAACCGTAGACCCCCCGAGTTCGGGTTGTGGGTTTCGTGTGGGTTTAGGGCTTCGGTTCTCTTCTGAACGGCTCTGAGGCCCTGACCCCAAAACCCCTATGGACCACTCTTGCGACCCCAAACCCTGGAGTACAAGAACTAACCCCACGGCCAGCACCCCAAGCCCTAGAAGCCCCATTAAAAACCCAAAGACCGCTAAAACCTCACGCCCCAAACCCACAAAAAAAACCCAATTCGGGAACCGTGCCTAGGCCCTGCATCCTGAAAAGCACCAAACCCTAAACCCTAAAACGGTCCTAAAATCCTAGAAACCCTACAAACCGTTCACCCCAAGCCCCATACCCACACGAAAACCCTGAATCGGGAACCGTGCAGTCGCAGTCCACCGGAGTAGGCCTGCGCAAGCACTCGCAGCTGTTGGGGCGCCTTGTTGGTTCCATGTATTGCCCCCTTTTTGGGGTACTCGGGGTTTGGGGTCTTGGGGTGGGTTTAGGGTTTAGGATTTAGGGTGTAGGGTTTAGGGTTTTGGGGGGGGAAGGTATTGTAGGGTATGGGTTTAGGGCATGGGGGCCTCACACGGGCTTCGAGGCTTGGACTCGGGGCTTGGGTGTGAGAAGAACTAGGAGTTCCTTCTTCTGAAAAACGACTGAAGGTTCTGAAGACTCCGAATGCCAGCGGCCCGCACAGCTTCTTGAATCAACGCCTTGCAAGCCCTGCTAGTAACTTGTACCTTTGGCAGCCCCAAACCCCCAGCGCAAGCCCACCACAGACCCAAAGACCCAATCAGTGAACAAGGAATGGAACGGCAGCTACACGTAGAATATAGAGTATTGAATAAATACACACATGCAAAATGAATAAATAAGTAAATGCAAAAATAAATGATGCACATATATATCTTATATGTACATAGATATATATATATATGTATGTATTGTACATGCATATACACATTAAAGGTACACGCATGCACAGCCCTGCCAAAACCTCACAAATCCTAAGGCGTCACTCAGAAAATGGGACCCCCGAGCCTTGCCACAGACATCAAAGCATCCCGGCAGGTGTGCCCTGGCCACTCTCGGGCTTGACAGATAAGGGGTTTGTAAGCTTCAGGTTCTCCGTACCCCGAAACCCTAAACGTGCAGAGGGCTTCCACGCATTTAGGGTTTCTGGCTTTCGCTTCTAAGACTCATTTTCCTTGAGGTTGGGATAGTGGCTTTCCATTCACGATATCAGGCTCAAGTGCTTGGAAAGTGCGCCGGTGGCATTGCTTCAACACGTTTGCTCCTCACAAAGCTGTTCGAAGATGGTCCTAGCTTTTGCCCGAGAGCAAGTCAAGGAACAAAGGGCTAGAGGTTGCTGTCAGATCACAGCGCTTCCAAAGGCAGTCTGAGTCTGTGCAGCAAGCTTTGGACCTTAAAGCCACCCCAACGCCCCATGCTAAACCCCAAACTGCTAGCAGACTTAAGCCCAAAACAAACCCACTTCCACCACCTGAGAACCTCACAGCCAAACCCTAAACTCAAACCCCAAACTTTGCACGAAAATCAAAACCTTGAACCCTATTTCCTAAACCCTAAACACTTAAACCTAAAGCCTAAACCCTAAACCCTAAAGCCTCAAACCCTAGCCCCTAGAAACCCGAAACCCCAACCCCCCAAAACCCAGCCAGCCTTGGGACTGCAGCCAATGCACATGCGAGGCGCAGGGCTGGTCCGTAAAGCCCTGCTTCCTGGACACTTCGGAGGAAGGTTTAGGGGTTTAGGGTTTAGGGTTCAGGGTTTAGGGGTTAGGGTTGAAGGGTTTAGCTCGGCTGCTCTGCATGTTGTTGAAGAAGTCGAGCTTTGCATTGCTGAGGTGATTCCTCTAATGCTTGATTCCGCGTAAAGAAAGTTAAGGAATGGGCTGCTCGGGATCCTGTGCTCAGGGTTGCCTCGGTTCATGCAAGTTCTGGGGACCCCTTTTTGAACCCTCAAACCCTCCCTCCTAAACAGGGGCTTGAATCATTGAGCTGCAAGGAGAAGGCTGGGCCGGGGGCTTTGGCTCTCCGGGGCTAAGTCCAGTGACGCTGCGGGGTTTAGGGGTTCAGGGCGTAAGTTCAGTGTGTTTCAGAGCTCCAATAATCCCACTTCGGCCCCATAAGCCCCCGAACACCCAAGAGGCCCCTTCTAAAACCCTAAATCCTGAAAGGTTCTAGAAGCCCTAAACCCAGATTTAAGATTTAGGGGGGTCAAGCAGACCCTCAAAGACCACGCCCCCAAGTTCTTGCCTCGTTTCTCGTAAGACCAAGCTTAGGATTCTTAAGTTCTGCGTGGCGACAGCTTCCCAAAACAATTTAGGGATTCGGGTTTAGAGGGCTGATCCTAAAAACCCACCGAGAGCTACGAAGCGCCCTGTGCCAATCCCAAGCCCGTGCACTCCTCCTAAGCCCCACCTCCTAGGAACTGAACCGTAAAATTCTCTATATACAAGTAGCCGAGGCGACCCTAAACCCTAAATCCTAAACCCTAAACCCTAAACCCTTAGCCCTGAGTTCCGAGGCTGAGGCTTGCAGTACTTGCAGTCCAACTCAGCACAGGCAGGGTTTGGGGTTTTGGGGTTTTGGGGTTTTGGGGTTTTGGGGTTTTGGGGTTTTGGGGTTTTGGGGTTTCGAGTTTTTTTTTCTGGTAGAGGAAGTGTAGGTTTGGGTTTTGGGAGGAAGGGGGGGGGGGGGGGGGGGGCGGTAGAGAGTTTGGACTTGAGGATGTTGAGGGTTGTTGGAGGGGTCAGAATCGAGGGTTGAGGATTTCAAGGGCTGCTTGTGCTTGGGCCTTGGAGTTTTGAGGTACTTGGGAGTCCCAATCTCTAAAGTTTTCTAGGGGCCTAAACCTTGAACAAACACCCTGATGCTCGAGGGCTCAAGACACACCAAGCTCTAGGCTTCGAGCTTGAACCCGAAGCCTGAAAACCTAAGCTAGATCCTTAACTCCAACTTGAACACCCTGAACCCAGAATGCCACCTCCTTGTCTCTCAGAGGATGACGTCTGGACGATCAGGCTCGACACTCGCGCCAGCCATGAAGCAATAATCCTCCTCGTCTGGAGTGGCGTCCGCGCATCTTCCGAAATCAGCAGGCCATCGGTCGTTCGCTTACCGCCCCTTTTCAAGGCAGACGGAGTCTTGCTCTTGCTCTGCCGCCTCGCAATCGTTCCACCACCATGTCTCTTACTGCACAGGTTGACACAGGTTGAAGCTCCATCTTGAAGGTCGCCAGCTTGAGACAGCCCCAAGAAAACTCCGTTTAAGGGAACCCACATCCCTAAACGTTAAACCCTAAACCCTAAACCCTAAACCCTAACCCTAAACCCTAAACCCTAAACCCTAAACCGTAAACCCTAAACCCTAAACCCTAAACCCTATTCAGAAGCCTTAGGGAGCCTCAAGGAAGACGTTTTGTGGCAAGAGCTCTGGGCCGTGCGCTTGCTCGTAGGGCTTTTGTAGGTCCTAGTCAGTGCAATCCGGGTGCTTCAACCCGACAACCCGAAAAACTGCAGCAACCGACAACCCAAACCAACAAAAACACAAAACTCTCACCTGACACCATAAATCCTGAACCCCCAAGACCTGCAAAAAAAAGGAACCCTCAACAACAAAAAATTAAAAAAAAAAGGAACCCTCAACAACAAAAAATAAGCAACACATGAAACGACTCGGATTAGCCACCTTCGGCGGCTCAGGACCCATGGTGTGGACGCCGCTGAGCCTCTGTGGGTGGAGTTCGTTGAAACTTTGCCCCCCTAAACCCTAAACCCTAAACCCTAAACCCTAAACCCTATAGACCTCCGGTTCCCCAAGTGGTGGGGTTTGTTCAGGTCTTAGGCTATCCTACATGGCTCTTGGGGTTTAGGGTGTAGCTTTAGAGGGGCGAAGGTGTTGAGGATTCATAGGGCTTAGGGCATGCTTTAGCGGGTGGATGAAGTATGGCGCAGGACGCCGGAGATTGCGAGAGGGTTGTGTTTCGGGTAACCCTTCACACGGCGGCTTGTGTTACCAAGAGCCCGCCGTAACAGTGAACGAGTGGA